ATTTGAGATTAAGCTATTCTGGAATTATATATTTCTATCTATAGCTATTGCTAATCTAACCAAACTAGAGACTCACCCTCTGTTTTTGCCCAGGTGTGACCTGTTTCAGTAGTTCTTGGCTTCTCTCTAGATTCTTAACTTACTAAGAATTTGTTCTTTTTAGTCATAGATTGGTAACTATATACCTTGTTAGTACTGCTATTTATATTTGTTTTAACATTGCACTTTATCTATAAAGACCAATTTGGTTTTTTACTACCCCATACTAAATTTTTCATATTTTTAAATGCTGCTACTCTTGTGTATTCTTTCTTCTTGTCTTTCTGCTCTTCTGTTTGTTCTTGATTTTCTTTATTTTCTTAGTTTTCTTTTTTTCTTTTTTCTTTTTTTCTTTTTCTTGCTACCCTTTTTTGTCTTCTTATCTTTCTTCAAGATTTCTTTTCTTTTTTCTATTCTATTTGTAACTCACATCTAAAGTTCCAGATGTGCTAATAGAATCTCTTGCCTAATTTATTAAGTGCTACACTTATTATCTTGCTGGCTGCTTTTCTATTTTGAAGTATATTCTCTATTCTTTGTTTTTGTTCTTTCTTAATTAGACCTCTAATCATATGAATTCTCATTTCTATCCATTCTGTATTAGTTGCACTGAAAATGTTTTTTTTTAATTGTAGCTCTAGATGGTATACTTTTGAAAAGATCTTCTTTCTTTATAACTTTCTATATTTCATCGCATATTTCTTCTTTTATTATACTCTATATGCTTTGATAATCTTCGCAATTTGTTAAGTAGTTTTAACAACTCTTTCTGATGATCATCTGGTCAACAAAAATCAAGAAACCAAACTATGGTCAGTGTTATAGAAGACGTCGAAGTAAATAATAAACTTGGTCCTACAGAAGTAGGTGTGTTGTCGATAAAGTACTAAGAGTGTAAAACCAAGGCTGGTCTACTTTGGACTAGTTTTTGTAGAGGTCAAGCTTTTCTTCTAGCGGACTCCTCTATTATATTCGGCATCCAAACCAAAAGGGTATTTTGGGAATATAGAGCGACAAGGTCGACACCAGGAGTATTATAAACTTTGGGTCTATCTATACAACTGTAAAACTTACAAGGAACAACCACAGAAAAGTTTCGTTGACCCACCACTTTTTTCGAGGAAATTTTGTCAAAAAGTGGGCGTCTCAGCTTACCCCCTCCAAAAGATCGACACGTAATTTACCAAAACAGTCAGTATTGTTTACCTGTTTACATTGTGAATGGGACCTCCTAACACAGGAAAGCAGTTGTCATCCGGAATAAGCAACCGAGTATGTATCGTAGGACAACACAAACACGTGCCTCGCTATCGAAAAAACTGTTCAACAACAATACTTCGAGACTTCTGGTTTGGATTTTGGGCTGATTCTATCTAGTGGTGACTACGGTGCTCTAGCTTCGGCCAGCTTTTTTAACTTTTTTCACCTTTAAGCATAGTTTATTAGAATAGAGATTGTTATAGAGCTTCTTTATCTAGTAATATGTAATTTTTTTGACCCGACACAGGCCTTTAAATGTGACCTGTCAGATTTCTTTTCTTTCTTTTTTATCCATATTTCATCTTTGTTTTTGTTTTTTAGTATTAGCTTTCATTTCTTTTTTCTTTTCCTATTTAGGATTAGTATTAGTATTAGTAGATTTTTTTTGTTTTTTTCACTTCTCTACAAAAAGATGTCATCAGATTGGCGGTATCCTATTGTAGGGCGGTGGTCTGACATGAGTTCCCAGGGTTAACTCAGGCATTAGGCTAAGGTTATCAAGGTCCTTTAATAGAAGTTCGGCCCAGTGTGGCTGGTCACTTGTAAGTGCTCTTTGAAGTAACTGCGGGATGTCAGGCCTAAATATTAAGCTCAATATTGTATGATTTACTCGTATAATAATCTTAATAAAGGATCACTGGCAAGACAGCCAAAGTGGAAAAAAAAAAAAAAACTATTAAAGCAGATCACACACGGGTGAAAACTAAAGATAAATTTCTAGTTTGGTTAGATTAGTGATAGCTATAGATAGAAATGTATAATTCTTAAATAGCTTAATCTCAAATAAACAGAGGCAGGATTGCCAAATTATAAAAAAAAATAAAACTAATGATAGTTAGACTTAAATTAGTTTATAAATAAAAAAATTGAGGCCAAGTAAGGATGCAAATCACTAACTCTTCCTGACTATCACTTGTACCAAGTTTTAGCTAAAAACAATTGCACTTTTCTCAATATTCACTAAGTAAATCTATTTTGGCTGTCTAAGTAAAATTGTTTCTAACAAAATTTTATATATAAGCAGCCTAGTTTTATATCTCTAAAAAGCTTTTCTACAGAGATATAGCTAAATTTTAATTTTTTATTCTCTTCACAATAACTTTAAATTTTATTAAGTAAACCACTCTTGCTACTTGAGACAAAAAGATTCAGCTCACTCTTAGCTTCATTTTAATATATAAAACATTACAAACAGAACAAAATTAACAATTTTATAACTAAAATACTCCGCCTTCTAGGATGTTTAGACCTGCTGATCCTTGATTACAAATCAATTTTCACAAATCAAGTTCCTGTTTTATTTATTTTTAGATTTAATTTAAATTTAGTAATTTATTTTTAATTAAATTACACAACTTCTGTTTTATATTAATTACACGTTGATCATGCTGATCATTTTATTGTTACACTAGGTGATACCTTATCTGTCACACCTTTATATATCACATCTCTTATTTGTTACACTTCCTTATTTGTCATATACTTTATCTGTCACACTCCTTAAAAAAGCATACCTTCAAAATACCAACTTTTACTAACAAAGAACCAGACTCCTATAATCTAGATTATTATCATACTAATTATAAAGACCATCATGGACTAGAAATTAATGAAAACAAAGCAGAACAACTATAAGTTCTTCAACCAGCCTATAAACTGGAAGTATGCAATTCTATTAAACGTTGTTACAGAAAATTTCTTCGAAATTTTCCTTACTGTATATATTTTCTTTTCTTTGTGTTGTATAGTTTGTCTTTTCTATATATAAAAGCAGTAGATTATGTGTACACGATAGAATTAGCACATGCATGGGTTCGAAACCCGAGGTTAGGGTTTGAAACCCTGGGTCCGGGTGTGGAACCCCAGATCTGAGTCTGAAACCCCAGATCTGGGTTCAAAACCCCAGATCCGGGTTTGGAACCCTTAATCATCAAAATATATAAATAGGACGCTTGCTTAATAAATAAAACAACTCTTTCTTACTCTGCTCAAGTAATAAGTACCATGGATACGTGACCTAAACCTATTTTTAATTGACCTGATAATAAATAATATGTACTAATCTTGCTTAATAAGTAACACCTAGCAACCAACTAGAACCCAACCGTAACTCATAACGACCTACCTTCGACCCTAAGGAACCTAACTGTAATTCGTGGTAACCTAACTTGGACCAATACATAACCTACAATGACCTGACTTGGATCCTAAGTGACCTAAGTATAACCTGTGACGACCCCTTCCGAATATAGTACTATTAATTGATAATTATTACTACCTACGAATCTGGGTTGTGCTACTTACCATCAAGATTTATGCTTGCGGTGCTGGACTAAATTGGCGTGGATACATAAAAGCTCTCCCTAGCCGTAACATTTTGGTGCCAGTTGTGTGGAAGAACGATAGAAGGTGACGATAATCGTGTGGACAAGTAATCAATAATAATAATCGTACGCTGAAGTGTGTGGATAAGCATCAAGAACAAGCGAACGTCGATAGTATTATACGAACGAACGTTGATAATATTGTGTGAACCGAGCGTTGATAATTATTGTAACAAGCGTTGATAATTGTTGTGTGTACAACGTAGGTAATACTGTGTGAGCGAACGTTGATAAGATTGTACGGATAACGTTGAGGATAAACGTTTCGGAAATAAGTGTGGACGAACGCTACAACGGTAAAAGAACGAACGTGTGTACAGCAATAGTGTGAACAAGTGTGGATACAATAGTGGAAACGATCGTTAATATAATAATAAAAACAAGCGTTAGTATAATAATATAAGCGGATAATCGATATAAAATGTGGAGAAACACCTTTAGCGATACGAATCCCGGAAACGAATGTCACAATTATGAACAAGGAAATAATGGAAACTCCCCTAGTAACGGCAATTCTCTTCGAAATGAATGTCTTTTGGATAGCCCGAACCCCCCCACGAATCTCGATCAGCAAGATGTCCCCGATCAGCAAACAATCCGGTTGTTGCAAGTAATAGCCAATGCATTGGCACAGCCTCGACGATCCCATGACGAATTAAACGAACGAAACGTAGTAAAAATCCCGACGTTTAGTGGAGGAAATCAGGATCCCGTTGAATGGGTGGATGCAGTAACACGAGCATTCGAAGCGAATAACATCATAGGAATAAGGCGACTTGCAGTAGTAGGAGCACATCTCTCTGGCCTTGCTGCGCTGTGGTGGGAGAACCAAACGTATGGAAACAATGGAATACGATATTGGGAAAATGAAGAAACTCCATGTCAAAGCTTCGTGCACCAGTTTAGGCAAGCCTTCTGTACCCCGGCTCTGATCAACCAATGGAATAATGAGTTGCTATCCCGACGACAACGTGTAGGAGAATCGGTGGATCAATACGCCGCGGATATGTTGATGATGTTTAACCGAGTATGCCGAGTTGGAAACCAATACCCTGAGATAACGAAAGCCCAAATGTTTGTACAAGGATTGTGCCCCGATTTGTCATTAGCAGTAGGACCGTTCATGCCGAACAACCTCCAAGAAGCAATCGAGAAGGCTCGAACATGTGAAATGACTTTTGCTCGAGGGTTAGCAGCATATGGATCACCCGCTTTGTATAATCCCTTGATGTACCCGATGACCCAAGCAGTAGTGCCCCCATACCAAGCTTGCTCCACGGCCCAACGCATAGTACCACCATCCCAGCCAATGTACAACACCGCCCAGCCTACGACGCCCACCCAAACCCAAGCTTCGGCGAACTCTGTAGATCAAATAATGGCTATGTTACAGGAGGTAGTGACCACGATGAAAAATAATAATAATAGCAATAATCATAGTCGGCCCCGACCCTCTGCCAATGGAATCCGTCCTGAAAGGACCAATCGACCCCTCGTATGCTACTCTTGCCACCAACCTGGACACATCGCTCGTGAATGCCCAAACGCTGATCGTATGAATGGAGGTGGAAACAACCCCCCAACTCAAAACCAAAATAATGGCCCCGTAAATAATAATAGGCCGATGGAAGAGGTCCCCAGGGCGCAAGCAATGTTAGTTCAATTACAGGATCCCATGGAGCATTTAAACGAGGAAGCGCACCTTTAGAGGGTGAGAGTGCGCAACCGTCTTTAAACCCCTCGGTAAGTATAATAAAGGAGGCTTATATGGCAAAAAGGAGGCGTGGTAATGACGACGAACCTGTTGAAGAAGAAACCCCACCCGTGACTAATCATAATAAAGAGGACAATCAAGGAAGCACCCAAGTGAATAACCAGGCAAACAAACAAGGGGACGGTAAAAAGGCCGTAAAGAGGAAAGTAACAAAACCTGTTGAACCCCCAGTGACGGCAAAAATACAACCGTACTCGATAATGGCGGATTTGCAAAATAAGAAGGCCGATATCACCTATGCGCAACTATTTCAGGCGGCTCCAAATGTGCGGAAAGAGGCGTTGAAGATTCTACGCCCGGGAAGGGTGACCAAGGGAAAGCTCGCAGAATTCTGCCTTAACCGTAGTGACGAAGCATACACAACGTCGATGTATTGTGATGCCCGAGTGAATGGTCGACCGATCATTCTGATCTTGGATAGTGGATCGTCCGGCTGTGTCGTTTCTGCGGGATTTCTCAAGGACTCTGGAATAACGATCGACCGACCTTCTACAGTAATGATGGTGGGAGTACACGGTGAGCAAAAAAGGCCGCTAGGAGAAATTGACGAATTCCCCGTGACCGTCGGTGGCAAAACCATAACGTCTCGTGCTGTTGTAACCGACGCTGGAAATTATGCGGTAATCGTAGGAAACGATTGGATGAAAAAGGCGAGAGCCCGATTGGATTGGGAATCGTGTGAGTTGATGATAAGGGATGGGGATAAAAAAATAAAGGTGCCGACTGAGTATTGTAAACCGGCAAACATTGGAGATCGAATTCCTCGGAAGGATGGAAAAGGGAAAGCAAAAGCGGATGAGGAGGATGAAAGTACCGACGATGACGACGATAGTAGTGACAACGACGAATTAACGTCAAGTGACGAAGAGGAATATGAGGAAGAAGAAGGCTTAATAAGCCAAACTTATTTGTATTTTAAGTTCTACCCTGTACAAAAAGAGGCCGACGTTGTATGTAGGATATGTTTAAGGAAAGGAAGTATAGAACACGACGAAAGAGAAAATTTGATAACGGAAGATAGGTTCGATAGTGATGAAAGTTCGAAAAGATGTTTTGGAAATATGGTTCCACGAATTGAAGACAACATAGAAAAAGGCATTGAGAGTAAGGAACAAGGTAGCATCGTTGAGGAGTGCAAACAGAATGAAAATGGAGAAAAAAATAAAAGTAACAAAATGAATAAGGAAGTTAGTACAGGGAGTGACGAACCGTCACAAGCAAGCAAAAAAGGAGAAGAAAACTTACCATTGTCTAGTAACCAACCAGCTATAAAGATCGAACACACAGATGAAAGGCCTAACGATGAGATCATTAAAGATAAACATAAACCATCTGATAGAAATGGATTATATACAAATCGGTTTAACAATGGCAATGCAGAGGAACAATGTAATCACGGATGGTGCTACCAAAATGGTAAAAACTCGAATAGGGATGGCAAAAAGGTGCTCGAACGGTGTTGGAAGGCTAGAGAAGGTCGAGATTGTGATGACAAAATAGTAACCCGGATGACTAACCCGATTAAAAGAAACTATTTTATGGATGGAGTAGAATGTATTCCTATCACTTGGGCCGTGAAGAAATTTGACCAATATTTACGTAGGCCTCGACTCACCAAGGTAATCAACTATTGTGTTCTGACGTTGTTGAATTCTTCACGATGTGTGTTTGATCCGGGAGGAGAGTCTAAATGAGCAATGGATAAATAAATGAAATGAATTAATAGACGCAAAAAAAAAAAAAAAAAAAAAAAAAAACGATACATGGTCCCTGGCTTAACGCATTACTATTTCGGTGCTGGAACGAATATTGGAATCGAACTTTGATGAAATGATAAGTGAGGCAAGAAGGTTGAGGGAGGATAAAACTCGAAGGTTATTGATGGGTTCGACGGAGCTCACACTTTGAGAGGAGGAATATGTTACAAAAAATTTTGTCAAATTTTTCGTATCTTGCATTTTCGCAATATAGTTTCTTTATCCCTCTGTGTAAAAGTAGTAAATCACGTAGTTACGATAGTAATAGCACGTGTACGGGTTCGAAACCCGGGATTAAGGTTTGAAACCCGGGATCTGGGTTCGAAACCCCAGATCCGGGTTCGAAACCCCAGATCCGGGTTTGAAACCCTTAAACATCTAAATGTATAAATAGGGCGTTTGTCTAGTAAATAAAAAAAAACTCTTCCAAACTTCTTCCAAACTCTTTCTTACTCTGCTCAAGTAATAATTACAGTGGATACGTGACCTAGTTCTTTCTTATTTTGTACCTGATAATACATAATACGCACTGATCTTGTTTATTAAGTAGCACATAGTAACCAACCGGTAACCTAACTCGAACCTAACGTAACCTGCGGCGAACTAACTCGAACCTAAACGTAACCTGTGGTGACCTAACTCGGACCTAGCATAACCCGTAACGACCACTTCCGAATATAGTCTAATTAATCGATAATTATTACTACATACGAATCCGGGTTGTGCTACTTGCTGTCAGGATTTATGCTTACGGCGCTGGACTAAATTGGCTTGGAAATACAAAAGCTCTCCCTAGTCGTAACACCATTCAACATTACATATAAAATCGATCATCATGACATCTTCCTTGATTGCTAAAAAAGAAGATTAAATCAGTAACAAAGGAAGAAAATAAATGATAAATAAAAAATAAATAGTTTAATACTTGTCTCTAGCAACATACCGGGTGTTTGATAAGTTCCTAAACAGAACCTTTTTGTTAATCACTTAAAAATTTATAGATAGGATCTTTTTACTAATAAAAATATAAAGTTTTGATAATTAAAGTGATCAATAAAAAGGTCCTATCCAAGGATTTATCAAACACCCAGTATAGCTTATAGTTCGAAGTTGAACCATGGCAATAATAGATCAGAGGTCAAATTCAGTCAGAATGGAAAAGTCTTTGAGAAAAAATTAAGTAATTAGTAAAAAGTAATAAGAATGAAGATACAAAAAACCTCTATATCTGAACAATAATCTGAGCCCTGCCATAAACTAGTGAAATTCTTGATATCTTACCCAAAGTTAAGGTCCAAAGAAGAAACGCAACATGAAAAAGAAGAATAAAGCTGAAAATTAATAAATATATAAAACAAAAAAGAGACTTGAAATCAAAAAAGTAAAATGAAAACACTCATCTGAATAGAATTTCCAAGCCTGAGAGAGCTGAAGTGAAATTGTTGAATACTAGCTAATAGTCATAGTAATAAAATAAAAATAAAAAACATCTTGCCACTAAAAAATAGTCCTAGCACTGTAGAAGAAGAAAGAACACAAGATCTCTAGAATCAAGGCTGCAAGAAACGAAAGAAGTAAAGAAGAGTTATAAAATGAGTTAAAATAATATAGATCAATGAAATGAAGACAAAAGATCTAGAAAAATGTGAAGATGTCTAAAAGAGACCTAAATTGAAATAAAGTAAAGTTGCTACATTAGCATTCCAATCTATATACTTATATAGTAAAATTTTTCAATTCACTATAATTCAAAAACTTATTAATGAAACCTACTTTGTGTTTATAAGTAACTATATAGCCCATAGTTTATATTAGCTTGTAATTAAAAAAGATCTGATATAAGTAAGCTTTATGAAAAGGATCTGGGCGACGAAGCTAAAATTTATGGTTTTTTTGTCCTCTAATCTTTAAAGAAAAAAATAAATTAAATTAAATAAAAAGCTATAAATAAATATAATAAAACTTGCAGATTAAGTTTTACTAAGGAGTGAAGACTGAGTATTTAAAAGGTTTAGTGGTTTTTCTTTGCACGAACTAAAAGTATGCATCAAATGTTTGTGTAAAATTACTATGTAAAATCAGTCAGTGTGACATCTTCCCTGACTAATATTAAGTTGTCTATATTTAGCCATCCAAGTGTTGTGGCCAGATTTTGGTATTGCTTTATAATTGCATTGTATGTCTTGTATATTAGAGGATTTGTATTCAAAACTGCCACTACCTGTTTGTCTAATGGTAAGTTGCGTACAGTATAAGAATATGTTGTAATGCAGCATTAATTATGCTGGTTTGGATCTTATACCAAGTTGACTCAATTAATTCAGTAATATTTATATGTAGTGGTGTATGATTCGCTCTAAAATTTAAAGAAACTTGATCATTAAAATTATGCCATTGTTCTTGGTTCATGTTTTTATAAAAGAAAACTCTTTTACAGGTCCTAGTTCTGGTACTATGTTTTCCTATAAATGTATATAGAAATGATCATGATGAAATTAATATTTTATGGTCACTATCAGTACTTGTATTTGGATCATCTATATAAAATAGGGTTAGATATCTAAGAATAGTATAATTAGGCCATATATAATCAATGCAGCTTTGAGATCTGTTGCTCTGCCAAGTGGACTGTGTATGAGTAGCTAAGTTATATATATTGTTATATTGGAGAAATTGAAGTAGTTTATACTTAATAGATGTTGAGTGCTAATTGTCATTTTTAATATTGAAGTCTTTTATGATGATGATTTGTAAATTGGTACTTGTAGCTTGTTGGATCTATTGTATGATTATATTTTGAATTTGAAATTTAAGCTGGAGATCGTTAGATAGTAAGTAAGTAGAGATAATTCTAAACTTGAAGTTATGCTTAAAAAAAGATCAATAGCAATTGCATATCCAGGAAAAGTAATTATATTATGTATATAAGGGTTGAGCCATTTGCTTAGCATGATAGCTATGCCTGCTTTGGAACTATCAATGCAAAACCAATAATAAGAGAAATTTTTTAATCTTTGAAATTTGGTGCTAATATTTCTATGAGCTATTTTAGTTTCTGTAATACTTATTATATTAAGATTATTAGAGAGACAAAAGTCTTCCCAGACTTGTTATTTTAAATTGACATTGTATTCTTGAATGTTATGTATACATATTGATATATTAAGTATCTGTTTAGGTCTAGAGTAAGGAGCATTGTTCATTGGATATATAGATAGAGTAGAATCTGGCTTAGATCTGCATTCAGTATATAAATTAATTAAACTTATGAATTGGGTTGAATTTTGGTGTTCTGGAATAGATGAAGTAAAAGGAATAAGTGGTGTAGTTGGTAAGCTTGATTTGAATCTTAATAAAATATCATCTGAATTATATAATATAGAAAAGATGTAGTAGTTTGGTAATATATCTGGATCATTAGGTAAATATAAGTAAGATTTAGTTCTGTCACTGTTAACTGAAATAAGGAGGTAACATGCTAGGTGTTTATCATTGTTTTGTTTTAAGTGTTGTCTAAATGAATTAATAGTTTGCAGTTTTCTTAATAAAGGTAATTAGTAGTATTGAAAGTATCTATTATAGCATATATCCAAATTATAGGTGTCTAGTGCTATTGGTGATGATTTGGATAGAATTTCTACTATAGAGGTGCTCCCCATTTTATGCTTGGCTCTTATAGCTGTAAAGGATTATATAGTTTGTCATGTATATTTGGTCTGACTGTTATTACACTGGTCCTTCACGTAAATGGACTTATTCACCTGTCTACTTACATCATTCTCCTCTAATTATAGCCTACAAAAAGTAGAGGACATCATAATTTTAAAGGCAGTGGCTGCATCTATGTGGTCTACAGAAGAAAGAACTATTGAAAAGGGTTATAAGTTTGGAATGAAGATTGTTGATTATGATTATAGTTTGTGTTAAATGTTGTGGTATTATTAAAATTGTAATCAGTTATAGAAACATCTCTATCAGAATTAATTAATAATTCTGACTGTTGATGATGCTATAAGTTTTCTTCAAAAAGGAATAGAAGTTTTAAGTATACTAGAATAACTGGTCTTAGTATTGTTATAGATAATTGGTAGTGTAATATTTCTAGTAATTTTAGAAGAAGAGATAGTAGGTGTTGAAAGGTTGGGTTTAGATAGTATCATATTTGGTTTAAAAAGATTAGATGTTACTTTAAGAGTTTTGAAGTTGATTTTAAATTTATTATGAAGTGTTTTTTCAGCTTCTGGGTAAGCTTTCTCTTAGTAGTGTTTTCTAATGTATTGAATTGATAGTTAATCACTAGCTTTAGAGAGGATGTAGAAATAAGTGAGTATATATGCCAAGTAGTTAGTATCAATTGGTTTGAATGTAATATTAAAAATGACTTTATGAACCGGTTAGTCAATAATGCTATCATTAGTTGTAGCTGCTTTTAAGTAGATATTAAAGTATTTGTAGAAATAATAGCTTTCTCTAATATAGTCAGTATCAATCTAATTAATTTCTATACACTCATCTTCTCTTTCCTTGATGAGCTTGCACATGAAAGTAATTGATATAGGTTTTTGAAAAGTGGCTATATGTGCTTTGCCTTTTTCAAAAATTGAAAAGTCTAAAATAGATTGATTAAGACAAGGCTTAGATATGAAATCTTTGGATGGTGCTGTGTAGTGCTTAAAGAATTTTTTAAAGAAAACTTGTGATAGATTTTTGGCATTGTGTTCCTTATTTTTGGGTAGTATTTTACAGTTTTTATCATCACATTTATGGATGTGAAACAGTGCTGCTTTAAAGCATTGTTGTAATCATTCGTGAAGTGAATTAATATTAGGTATAGAAAAATGGTGGAGTAAAAGAGCTTTACAGTTTTGAGATAATTTTTAAGCAATATTATATTTGATATAATTGTAAACTTTTTTTTCGTCAATTTTATGATATTG